CTGTTACAAAACTCAACCATGTACATGCATAAAATCAGCTTTTTTTGTACCAAAGAGGACATCCTGGAGCTTTTTAGACTTGAAGGGTCCAAACTTTTTTTTTTCTTTTTACGTCTGGCATCGTAACAGTGGCGGACAAAGCGACAATGGTGTTTTAGAAATCCCTGTTCTTCCGGCGTCTTTGCTCTGAATGGGGTTTGTTTCCAGTTTGGTGTTATGGAATGATAATGACTCACCAACACTCAAAATGCCACCTCAAGAGGAGAGAGGGAGGGCAGCAGGGTTAATTACCATGACAAAAGGACATTGAGCACCAGTTTGGGGCTGGACGCGGCGTAGACGATATGACCACAAGGATTTTCTCAGCCCAAATGGAAACAGAGAGCTTTGATCTCCTAAAAATGGCAACAGATGGACAGGGTCAGTGCATCCTTTGTTTGAATTATTAGGTTGCGCTTCCTTGCATTTTGCTCACAGGCGGGGAGTGCTCTGGTCGCAATGGCCCCCACAGCCTCCCCCTTTGTGTGCTTGTTTGACTGAGCGCTGTTCATGAAGTGAAGAGGCTAATCAGGAGCTATAGAGCTATTCACAGGAAACACTGTACAGCATGGGCCCATTTGGAGCAATTGTTCCGAGTGGCCACAATAGCCCTGTGTTTTGACACTCTGTAGTCAGTCCCTAAGAGTGTATTAAAGACATTAGAGTGGTTGTTAAGTGTGGTGATGTTTGCCACCAAATATTGACTTCTGGCTGCAAACGGCGCAGGCACGGTGCCCTGGCTGCGCACATAAACTGTGTGGCTAAACCCAGAGCAGAGCTACAATTAAACTGATTAAATGCAAAAACCTCTTAAAACAAGCACCAGTGAACTACAGCTGTCCCGCACCACAGCCAGGGTGTCATTATTTCTAAAGGTTTACATCTAATCCATTCACTTTGTGCCAGCAGGAGGATAAAGAAGTGAGAAGTGACACGGTTGTTAGGGCACATCGAACAAGAAGTCTATTAAAGAGTGGAGGACATTTCCACTGTGTGTAGCTGCTTGATTATGAAAACAGTATGCTGTGCTTAAACCTGCAGCCAGTAACAGCTCCTCAAACATGAAGTGGCAAGGGATTAACGGGTGCCAAAAACAGCGTTGGCCATTACAGTGGAAAGGAGGGGAACAAGTTTCACAGCATCACCAACACAATGGCTTTTCTCTTCATTTGGCATCACCAAGTCACAGTTAGAGCTACAGAAACCGTACTTACCTTTAGTCCATGGTGGAAGAAATAACTTGATTTTGATACTTAAGTAAAAGTACAGATACCAGAGCAAAAAAGTACTCAAGTAAAAGTATCACAAACAAATCTATAAAGTATTTTGTGCAGATCTGGGGGCTTATAAGGCTTCGAATGTGATGGTTTTGATAGATTTGTGCTGGATTTTGTTCACAGAGTCATTATTTTCCTAACTGTTTTTATTTTTGTATATTTTTGTTTGTTAAAAATAAACCCTCTGCCTTTTCAGCAGGTCTCAGACAATTAAAAAAAACTTTACATTTCAGTTCTGTTCAAAAATGTCATGGAGCTGAAAGTACAGATACCTGCTCTCAAATGTAGTGAAGTAAAAGAGTCCATTTAAAAAAGTAAAGTACAGTACCAAAATTGTTTACTTAAAGTACAGCACAGTACAGTACTTTTACTTAATTACATTCCAGCACTGCTTTTAGTAACATGGACTCAGGAGCAGGGAGTTAATCAGAGAAAAGAAGAACTTGTGCCCTCATTAAGATTAATTCAGAGTTGCTCCACAGAGACATGATGTAAATATTTGCTAATTAGAGTAGAGGGAAATAACCTATGCATTGCAGATGTATTCAAAGGTACAGAGCACAATAGGCCTGCTGTATCCAGGAAATGCAAATTAGACAGAGGAAATCATTTGAAATTCAAACTAGCAGTATTGCAGCATAGTTGTCTTAGCTATAGTCAGTTACACTTTATAGAATATACAGGTACTGACCACCATAAGGGCTTCAGAGTAAAATTAGGACTGTTTCCATAGCACACAAAAAATCTATCTTTTTTTTGCCTTTAAAGATATTATATTGTGTAAAATTAACTCTTTCATGTGCTTTAAGCGAGGAATGTTCTTACCTCTTTAAAAACATACCTGGAGTTGTGTTTTGTTTCATTCACACATGTTTAAGTAAAACTTTATTATTAGTCTGTCTCCATCTTCAAACCTCAAAATGCTCTTTTCCACCTTGTAATGTCAGGTAATGGCCCTTCTTTTACCTTTGTTTAGTACAAATTGGAATTCCAGGTCTGAGAATTACTCTAGTAAAGGTGTATAGAGTTTAAAAACACAGTGGAGCACTTCCTGTATTACCACATGATATCAGAAGGTGGAACAAAGTGTTTTCCATTTGAGAGAAGAGCCTAAATATGCAGGGTTTGTGTGTTAAACATGTGCGAATAGAACGAAACAGCGCCAGGTATATTTGTGCCAAGCAAACAATATTATAGCATTAGATCATAAAATAGATCCTTTAACAGGAAGCTGAAACCCGCAAATGGTAAAATTACAAATCATCTATTGTAATTACTTAAGAAACAAAACACAAAACCAAAATGTCTCACTCTGAAGCCAACACATCTGACCTTGACCCTTTCACCTTTCAACAGAAATCACAGTCATTCATCATAAAACATCTGCAGCACATTTGAAGAGATTCCATGAAGGCGTTCCAGTGAGATCACACTCCCCACAAAGGGACAGAACAATCGCATACTGGATGTTTGAAGCCTGATACACGGCTGGTGATGACAGCTCTTATGAAAAATGGTTGAGAGGCATAAAATCAAAGAGAAAGGGTCATTTTCGGCAGGTAAACAAACTCAGATGTTTAGTGTCATTATGAGATACCACTAAAGCTCAGACATGACAAGAAATCTGTTTTGCTAAATGACCCTCCACTGTGTTGTTACGAGCCTCCCGAACTCCCAGCATGCATTCCTGTTTAAGTACACCAATATTTATGCACACACAACTATGTGTACTTTGTGGTCACCTGGACAACTTCCTGCACATTAAACATAGGCTTTATAGCATGTAGGAAAACAGTGGAGCGGTGTACAAAGGAGCGTACGCACTTATGAATGCATTCTCTTTGAGTCCTGGCAAGCAGTCCTCATGCATGTGCTTGGATAAGAAACAATGTGGTCTTTGGCGTTTCTAGTAATAATAAACTTGGCTAATTTAGTTGTCAATTACTGTTACGGTAAGAGAGAATATTTATTTTTACTGGCCATTAGTAAATCTCTTAAATAATCTTTAATCACAGTATGTCAAATTATCAAAAGGTATGACGATTTGTGCCTCTTCCACAAATCTTTCAGTAAGACCATCACAATAGTATTAAGACATTTAATTAATTATCGACTCAAGTAGCTCAGTTAGTCCATGCAGTGACAGTGAAGTGCATGCTATTAGTGCGCCTTTGGGCAAGTGGGCAAGACACTTAACCTGCCATGCCGAAATGACAGATGTAGAAAAGTGAAATATAATTGGGATCGCTTACAATCAGATTAAGGTGATACTTGCAAGTAGAAACATATTGCTTGATTTTAAATGGGTATCATGGCTCAAATTTCTAGAGATCCACCTCCAGTGAAGAATATTTCTGAAGCGTATTTAATTCCAAAATATGGACCACCCAAATTAAAATGTATTTTGTAACGTATTCTGATACATGGTCCAAACAAAGTACGTGTGTTAGTATTAATATTTTTCACGTAGAATCGCATTTATATATAGTGTAAAAGCACAACGTGTGATTAAAAACAGCTTTATATTTGTTTCACGGTTTGTTCTGCATTTCCTAACACTCACAGGAGAAGGAAAAATCACACATGCACAAGCTATAAGAGTGGTGTTATCTGTTTTTTTCCCCACTGTTCATGTGCATTTGGAAGCTTAATTGTGTGATGAAACAGTGCAATGTATTCCTTTGATTTTAGAAAAGCAACTGTAAATGCTACTGAACGTGAAAATGAAAAATAAGGATGCGATAAGAAACTGGTACCAGATATTGAAATTTTATGATGGATCGTTTCCAAAATACTGGTTTAATCAATATCCCATTTTGGTCTATAAATTGGTGTAATGAGATGTTTTGCTGGCCAATGTTCATCCCAAACACCTCTTAATATTGAACTCTTTCTCAAAGCTGTTCTGTAGTTACTTTAAGTGATAAATAAAACTAAATACAAAACACATTTGGATCATTTTTACCATACGCTGTTTGTGTTTAAAGGATATTTTCAATGTCTGCCCTGGTATTGGTTGATAACAGATATCAGCAAATACGTAAATCCAAAGTATCGGCATTGGTATCAGAAGAAAAAAAGCTGGACTGGTGCATCTCTAATGGAAATGTAACTGTACCAGAATACAGTTACTCAAAACTAGGGTTCTGAACGTGCATTTCCGGTACATGCATTCAGTTACTTCCCAGTATTGTTCACCTTCATACCATCTTCTGCCCTCCATCTTTACAGACTGCTGTCTCTGGAGTCTACCCCAGTACACCTCCAAGAGCCCTGTCAACAGCTGCAGGACAGTCTGATAGAATATGTCATCACCATCTTTTCAGAGGCGCTGTCAACACCAGCTTTTGTATCAACCTTCTTCAGGACGGGGAATGAAACCCAAACAAACCCAACGGGAGGTTCACCGCAGTGCCTCCGACTCCAATCCCAAATTATGGCATTAAAAAAATCATTTCATAAACAGCTAGGTATTAACTGCTTTCAATCACAGTCGGTTGTGCTGCCTTGCGAGGATTAGCTCAAATTGAGAGAATTCTAGAGCTGCAGGGGTTTCAGAGATGATTCCCGAAGGTGTGTAAACATTAGGCTTGTCAGGACCTGTAGTTGTTATGGCTCTGTATTCACTGATAAAGGAGCAAATATATGTGGCATGTGTCTCATAGATGTACAGACTGAACCTACCTTGGAGCACTGCTTGTGATTCTGGCACCAAACCAAGGATCCATTGTTCTGAAAGAGAAAGAACATAGAGATGACCTACATACTCTTATCTCCAAGAATTTTTTTTAAATGTAATGTAAACAAAAACAAGATAAAATCTCTTTGAAATCTAACCCCATAACACAAATACTCACATGTATTCTTTCAGTTTTTCTTCTAAGACACCCAAATGATCTGACTCATGTGTGCAGTAATTTCATTGTTTAACTAGGAATAACTAACTAAAATGGCAAGATTTCCAAAAAAAATAAAGGATAAAAAATGTCATGTGAACAAAACAGAAAGAATAGAATAGCATCACTTTGAAATCTATCATCATTCACCACAAAACACTTTCTTTGGCGCCCAAATGATCTCATTGTCTCAAGTGTGCAGTCATTTCAGTGTTTAACTAGTAGTGTGCAAATCGAGATATCAAGAATCAACAGAAAAGCACTCAGAGAGCGCAGACCTCCGCCAAGGACTACCCCATTTTTTATATAAATTGCGATAAAATCAGTCTTCTGGATCAGATCCGGATCAGCCTTTGGAATATGAAAGAGGATCCCATTGTCCATCCCTGAGTCAAATTTCATGGGGTTTGGTCAATAATTAACCGAGATATTGAGAAACAAAATTTTTGGCCCCATTTACCACAATGTTAACTAAAATTTCAAAGTGATCCAGAATCCAGGATTTCTTCCGGATCACCCCCAAAATGAAATCAGTTCTTCCTTTTCACATTTCCAACAAATCCTGAAAATTTCATCAAAATCGGTCCATAACTTTTTGAGTTATGTTGCTAACAGACAAACAAACAAACAAACAAACACACAGGCGGAGGTAAATATTGAAAATTGAAAAACGTAAATATTGAAATATTGATATATAATTATGCTAAATTTGGTTATACAGTATTGTTATTGTGGGTTGCTGTATTTTTATGTAATATTTTATTTTTATGTAAGTATTTTTTATATCTTTTAGCATTTTTTTTGTAATCACACTACAATTTTTTTTGCTTATTTAGTGGAAGAAAACTTGTTTATTCAGTGCACATGACATATTCACTGTTTTGATGATTAAAATTGATTTCACATTCACTTGCCAAGTAGTGGTTTAAAAAAGAAATCTTGTTGCTGCTTCTTAAAAAAAAAAAAAGCAATACACAACAGAGTATCATGTGTAATATATGGATTATCTCATTTATCACCAAATCATGATATCGTATCGTGTATCGCATCAAATCATGAGGGACCCACTCTACATTTAACATCAGATGCCCTTCCTAATGCAGCCCTCTCCATTTATGTTGGCTTGAAATTCCCAGCTGTAATTCATAACAGCACACGAGAAAATTTATCATGTGTTTGCAAATTGTATTATGAAACAAAACCTGATAGCTCATTTGTCAGGGCAACAAAACACTGTAAAAATCATACCAAGAATAATATCTGCAGGAGCAATTTGATTAATTAACTACTAGTAATTGGTAGATTTCAGACGATCTCCAGTCTAGGTCTACTTGTTTATACTTCTACCACATCCAGACATTTCCTTGGACTTGGTTTCAAAAATAAACAGAAGGGCTGGAGTGAGCAAATGTGCATAACCTAAGCAGGAAAGTGGGGTCATAAGGCAAGGACCAGGGCAAATATCTGGTCATTTTCAGTGGAGCAGAGTGACCGTGGTTTTCCCTCTTGTTTTCTGGGCCTGTTTGATCTCACACCAGACGCCCCGAGGTCATCGAGAGAGGAACTGAAGTCAGCACTCCTGTTCGCTCTGCAGATACTGCCAATTTCCTTTTAATTGCTTGGAAGTCCCACCTTGTTCACGAGCACAAACATTTCGCCTTAATAGACCTGTCTCCTTTAAAGTCTTCAATGTGTATATACAAAGGTTGTTGAGTGCAGGACCACTTGGGTTCAACAGCTCTTGCAAGTGTCCATTTCCTGAATTTCATTAGGCCGTCGCATTATTCTGTCATTCCACGCTAACATAATTGTGCTTGGAAGTGCAAGGCTAGCACTCTGGAATAATAGACCGGTTGATCATCATAAAAGACACTAAATGCTTGACTGCGTGGACGGGCCAGACTGCTTTGTGATGCTCTGGGGGTTGAGTCTTCAGAATAAATCACACATTTAAACATAACAATAAAATGCACACGTTCTTAAAGGTGCATAGGTGAACTTTCCTTTTGGAAGGTCTGTCACCTGCTTATCCCCATGGAGAAGTTATTGCTTTGCCTAGAATGTTCCGCAGTATGGTATTTCACTTATTTATCCATGGAGACAACCTTTGGGCCAAGCTACAGGTCAAATCTCTTTCCATTATTTAAGAGATAAAAACCTGCTGCTCTAAGATAAGTTTAATGAACATTTCAGGCAAAAAAAAAAAAGACAATTTCATGAAAATACCGTATTTTTTGGACTATAAGGCGTACCGGATTATAAGGCACATTAAGCGAAACAAAAACTTGAGACTTAAGACTTTTTTTATTTCCTACAAGAAGGACTCAAACATAGACTGAGTAATAATGAGTTTAATTCCGCTTTGCCCACATTTGTTTACATTTTACAGAAATGAGACTTAAAACTTCAGCTTCAGCTTCCGTTGGACTCAGTGGAATATATGTGAAAATTGTTTCGACGTCAGCAAGCACAACCAAAATTAATACATAAGGCACACCACATTATAAGGCGCACTGTTGATTTTTTAGAAAATTAAGGTATTTTAAATGCGCCTTATAGTCAGAAAAATATGGTACCAGAAAAGCTACATATGGCACCAGTAAAAGAGTCCATGCAACTCTTGAATAGGCCTGTGACGATAACAAATTTTGAAAATATATACGACAATGTAAGTGTAGATATAAACAATAAAATTAAAAACCATTACGCCATTGACTCGATAACTCTAAAGCAGGATTTCCCCCAAAAAATTATTCTGTATGTGCAGTATTTGTACAGTACTCAACCCTCTACAGCTCAAATCTTCAGAAAAGTACAAAACATAATAAAGAAATTCCCACTAGTGCAAAGAACTGATAAATATTGGCCCACAAACATTTTCGTTCCATCTGTAATATATTGTACAAGTGAATTCCTGGATTCTCTCTTGTCATTGACCTGAATCGTGGTTATGGATACAAAACCCAACACACTTTACATAGGACAGTTTTCAGTATTCTCAAAGTCTGTGTAAGTTCAATGTCAAGTTCAAAGGGTTTCCACACTATGTAATCCAAAAGAGATTTCCCATGAGACCCTATAAGAGAACTTATCATTAAAGGCTTTAATTTAACATCCAGTACCAGTAAGTGCTGTGCTTTTAGTGTCAAGGATAATGGCCAAATGGGCTTCAAAGGACCTCATGATTGTTCTGAGAATCCCCACTACAAAAACTGTGATAAGGATGAGAAATGTATCCACAGGCTGCAGGGTCAGTCCAAAAGGAAGTCTTCACTCAACTCAAGATTTACGCCCAGTCCCGATGAACGACGTACACTTGAACCCATTGCCATTGCTTTGGGGTTTGTCTCTGTACAATTGCAAATAATGAGAAGACATCAGACACTATCAGTCAAAAGTTTGGACACACCCTCTCATTCAATTTTGTCTGGCTGTGTATGTTTAAATAGCTCCAGTCAAAAGTTTGGACACACCCTCTCATTCATTGTGCAGTCTCTTCTCTTTTTTACTATTTTAGATCCACAACGAAGACATGAAATATATGAAGGAAGATATAAAGAATTTTAGTAAGGAAAACAGTCTATTTACTCCACTAAATCATTTTCGACAAAGCAATGGATGGCTAATTTGAGGATGTTTCTTTGCTACATAATCGCATACATCTTACTTCATACTGTATATTTGTTGCCTTCTGTATGTATAAATATAGAAAGCTGTAAATATATAGATAAAGCATTCAGTGAGAGTCCAGACTTTTGACTGACTGGTTCGTTCAATCACTGAAACCAGCGCATACCAGATTGGGCTTTCTGTCACTGCTTTTCTGCCAAACGCAAATGAGCGTTTTTCACAAATTTGCGAAATGAATACAAGCTTAGAAATGTTTTGATTACTGGGCATTGGTTACCTAGTTACCGTAACAACCTGCAGGCTTTATGTGGCTCCATTGCACCACTTATCCTGCAGACGATAAATGGAGCGCAGGATCTTAAGATGTGCACTTGGCTGCACACTTTGTTTTGTATTTTTAAAAGTAGCAGTTTGTTATAACTATGATAATGCCACAGGTGTTAGAACTCGAAGCATGCAGACCCTTCGGCTAGGTACTCCCGAACATGAATCAAGTCTAGAGCTTTGTGGGCAACCTCTGAACTGTACACGCTCTATATATAAGCCCCAAAGCTTTATTATTGTTTTTACTGATCCCCTGTAGCTGGAGGCGGCATGTCTAGTATCAGGTGGTGTTCATGTGCCGGTGCCATGGCTCATTACTGACCTCATCAAAACCTCACTTTTACTTTGTGCGCTTAGCTCTAAAATTACCCAAAAAACTGTCAAACAAACACTAGCGAACCATCTTTAATAACACCTGGGAGGAGGTAATTAAAAGTATTCCTTTGTAGAAAAAAATGGCTTTTACACTGTCAACTGAACCCTGATTAAAACATGAATTATTCCCTACCTGTCATGTTGTGTTTTATTGCATAATTAAAATCCGTGTGGAGTCCGGTAACTTATAAAAGACGATCAATCTAACTCCAGTCCCTGTCGGCGCTAAGCCATAAATAAAGCCCTGATATTCACAGTGACAACCGATGCCAGGGGATAATTTATACAGATTGTCACAACACTGGACCACGTTCGAAATCATCAGTCGTGTTTTCTGACACCTTTCGTCGCCCATCAATCAAGCGCAGACAGGAGCGGATGGGGCTGGGGGAGCTAATTTTGCACAGTGACAGCATCCATGTAGCAAAGAGGCCCAGCGTGATGTTGCCCCAGCTGTCCAGGCCTGACCTCTCCATGTCAGGGACCAACGGGGAATAATTATAGGTC